TGCTTACTCGAAGGCTACACAACGCGCCACCGTAGCCGGCCGGACAAATGCAGGCATTACAGTTTTTCGGATTCCGTTTCCCTCCATTCACACATGCGGCTCCTTTGGTAGCACAAAGAGCTGCAACATCAGAAATCATGTGAGCGAGTTGGCTCCAAATACGATGTCCTCCAGTCAAAGCATAAACGAGCTGATGAAAAGGCCCGATTAGGAGAGGAAAATTTTTATGAGAGCATATTTGGAACCTATTGTGGCAAACGAATCTCTCAAGAACCGTAAACTGACCACTGCAATTGTAAAGGGTATTGATGATGCTTATGTCGTAGAACGAAATCATATGCGATCCCTTCGTACGGAGGTATTTGGCATTTTTGGCCTTCATAGAAGTTCCCGTTATAGCGAATCTAGGAGTAATGAACAATAGCAACAGTGTTTTGCCACCCTCCACGATTTCATTAACTAACTAGATTACGTGAACAAATACGCCCTCAAAGGCCTCTTATAAATGATCACTCACGATTGAGCATCATAGTGCATAACGCTGCCATACTCATAGGGGGTGTAGTTGATTGAATTCATCGTGGTTAGCTTGATATACAGGGTGTCCCAAAATTATTTGCGCCAAAGTTCAGTAATTTTTAAGGTAGAAATAATCCGTCAAATTCACATCACCTGTTAATAATTAGTTGCGTAAGAAGGTTTCCTTGCAATTTGCGTGGTTGCTGATGTGGAACTCCCATTATCTTTCAGATGGAGGAGGCTCATTCAATGCCACTCGCAATCATTGACGCGCGAGAAGTGGAAGGGCGTTATGAAATTCTTTGGGATTTTTCTAATAACCGTATAGGAGGCTATTAAACGATATAGAAAAGAAGATTGAACCAGATACAAACCAGGAAAGATAGAAAGGTAGAATGATTCTGAAAATAGGACTATTAAAATGGTCCGCCTGTCAATCGGTCGGGATCCTGGGTGACCCATCAAAAGGAAGTCAACGGGCACGGCTTATCCGAGTTATCGCGATGGAAGAATGTCATGCAGGAGCTTCACTGCCGTTCCTATCGCATGCAGAAATTTCGCTTCAATTCCGATCTCAACAGATACTGCAGGACCAAAAATGCAGAAAGTCGAAAGTGGTGACATGCAACCCTTCGTCGTTTTCTCTGGTCAAGAAATTTTTTACGATAAAGCCGTTCCTCAACAACCAAAACGTTCGCGTTCCGGAAAGAAACATCCAGCGTGTAATATCTCACAAATAGGTTGTTATCAGAACAGTAAAATGTTTTTCGAGGAAATCACTGGCAAGGGTAAGCCGCTCGTGGTTTCTTCGGTGCAGGCGTGAAAATTAACCAAGACCAGTACTCAAACGGCGTACTAATGGAAGTAAATAAAACATTGATCCGACTTCCTTTTCTGAAACATCTCATAGTCCTTCCAGCAGGACGCTACTCCAGCCCACAGAGCCAAGTTTGCCCTCGAGTGGTGCCGACGACAGCTGCCCGACTTCAATGGTGAAGAGGAATGGTCATCCTATTCTCCAGAACCTGACTCACTTGAATCCCACGAATGGTCCCTGATTAGAAGAGGACCTGTCGAGTTTGCAGTCCCAGTTTGGAGTCCTAGAATGCAAAGGCTGAAGAATGGCTGGGAAGAAATTTAGGAGGATACCTGCGTGCCACATGCGATCAAGTCGAAAGCAAACTTTGACTTCTATTCGCGCTCACGGTGGATATTTTGAAATGCGACTTTAGCATGTTGTAGCACATAGTGTTAGCTAGCGTTCATAGAAATTACATCGTCTTTCGCATTTGAGAAGTTTCAAATATATTGCTATAAATCGGCGCAAATAATTTTGGGACACCCTGTAGTTCTGTTTACTTTCATCCTAAAAAGGGAAGGTAATAAAAAAATTGGAATTATCCCATCTGAATGCTCGGTGGCAGCAGCAGTTGGCTTAGTAGTAAACTGAAAACGCAAGTCTGACAGGACGACATTCAAATGCTTCCCTTCCAACAAAAAGGCTCGCACTCTTAAGCAAGTAGAAGCGTAACCATTACGAATACTTCTCCCCTGCTCAGGGTTCCAAAAACACAGTTTTCTGCCCACCCAGTTCCAACTTTGAAATACTTAAAATCAAGAAAACATCCGGCTAAAAAATACCTACCGGCACGTTAGTCAAGTCGACTGTAATGAAAGAATCGCGGTCGTGACGACTTTGCATATGATATACTCCGTGAGCATGTATGAATTCATGGGCGACGATTCCCATCTGGAATGGGTGATGATTAAGTTCTATAAGCATACGAAATGAAACCACGACCAGGAGAAAACTTGTGACAAAAGTGGGCAAGTGCAGCATCGCTCTGAAGGTAAACTAAACGATCCAGTTCTTGATGTAGGAGATGGTTGGAGAGTGCATTCTTCACAGTTTTTGGGTAGCATGTAGCCCATATATGTACATATATATGTAAAAGTTATGTTATGGGCACTTACCGTATCGCAGCCTTCGCCTAACGAAAGATCTTGTTCGCCTCCAACCATTCCGACGAACGAATTACGTCCTTCACCACTGACCACTCGAATGCGATGCATAGCTGTAGCGTTCTCAACAAAGGTGATACATGTACGAGCGGTCAAATATGCAAGGGTTTTCTTGACGAGGGCCTTCTTCGGCTCTCCTAAAAGAAACTAGGGTTCGGTCCGGTAAAGTTACCCTTCGATTGTTTGCCGTTATCACCGACCGAAGCTTGCATCAAAGTAGTAGAAGACTTTTTTGTCTGTCCATATAGAATAGGTCTTGGCGCTTTTGGCGAGTTGTGCATTTGCTCAATTTCGCTTCGAGGGCAGCGAGCTGTTCCCTAAAATGCGACGGAAAACTGAGAGACTGGCTGAAACTGAGATACTTGCCACACTCCAGTGTCGGTCGCTATTATTCTTAACAATCCTTGACAGAGTTTGTTCTATGCGCTATGAGGGCGGGTTTTGTGCGATGGGTAGGGTTTTGTATAGGTGCCCCAAATGTGGCAAAGCGGCTGGCATGTTTTTGAAACATATTCGGTAAGATTGATGTCACCTTCGTAGAAGTAGTCGCTGACCCCTGCGATGCGATTTTTTTCGACAATCGAGCCACCTCCAAGAAGAGAGGCCATGCTCGTTTCAATTAAGTCCTGAAACAGTCTAGATTTGTAAGCAAGCCAAAGTTGACTCGAACGTTATATACGTTCTAACATTCTCGTCGGTGTTGGATGACACTCCTGGTGGTGAAGTAACCACATCAACGGCTTGCAGGTTTCTCAGTCTCTCGCGACGTTGCTCGGGATCTTCTGCTCGAAGTGTCTAAAATATCTCTTCACTGGAGCCAATGAGAGACTATGAAGTTTTACCTTCGTCAAGGAAGCTCTCCTACTATCTGTGAGAGCGAGGTCACAATCAAAAAGCAGCATGAGCATAAAGACCAGCGCCACATATCGACCTTGCTTTGATATTTCTCTCCAAAATTCCATGACTTTCTAATTGAAATGAGAATGGAAAAAATGAAGTCGTGCGGAGGAGCAAGCCAGTGTTTGGGTTGGATGGGCGGTGATACTCGATTATTCTTATAAACGATACCGCGTAGACTAACGCATTGAAATCGACACATCAGTATTCAGGCTTTCTACGGTTGAAGTGTTCTTTCACCTTGCCGTAGACTATGGGAATCGGATCAGAATATTTTGAACGCCATTACGAGGGTGTTCGGTTCCGATAGCGTACGTGCGACGAACAACGGATAGACCGTAGACTATACTTGTTTCAGCTCTCTGGAACGTTCATTACTCAAACCGAAAACTCTCTGGGAAGAGTTTTACTCAAATTTAACAAGCACTCCTTCTATAAGTGCCTATTTTCCTCATCCTAGCCCTATATTCATTGAAATCACTTTGATGAAGGCGAAATTCGCTGTCGGCTGTTCTCACATCACGATCATAGCATGGTGACATAAGGATCTGCTGCTCAGCAGTAACGCTTCATATGGGAATTATTTCAAAAGAGATAGTCAGAAAAAAGGCTTCTATCCGGGAAACGTAGCTAACATGTAGACATAAACCGCTGAAAGTTCGTAGTATGTTGATCAACTGGGGATTTGCGCTTAGATTAGGCCTGCCGAATTGCCCTGAACGCTTAAAGTCGTGTTTTCCAAAGCTTCATATCTTTCTACGGCAGGGGAAAACGAACATGGGTTTTACTACTGCACATAGCTACGATGAGTGCACATTTTAAGGATTTTCATTTGAATTGCTGAGACTGTTGGGTTATACCAGAACCGCTGATGTTAGAGTTGATGAATTTTTTTTTCTTGGAATTGTAGGTTGCTGTTCGATTACTTACTATTACTAGGTATTGAGCTTCATTATGGTTATGGGCAATGGAATGTCGGCTAAAGATTGCTTTGATATTCCATCGCTTCAAAGGGAACGATCTTTCTAGAAAAGCAAGAAGCACACGTGATTCCTGTCAACCTCAGAACACTTCATACAGGATTACCAATTTCGATAGTTCTTTCAACACTAGGCTCCCTAGCACTCACATTTACATGGAGATTCCTTTTGCGCATCCAGGGGAGCCTATTATAAAGCCTTTGTTCATTGTGACTCAGTTTTCCAAAGAATATCATCATGGGGGAAACGCCGGAGGAAGACATCGAGCATAGTCCGTCCCAAAAGCGTTTCTTTAATATCCAGTTAGCTTCGGTTTTTCTCAAATCGCAGATACCATTTGCAAAAGAGGATTCATAGATTTTGGATGGGTGATTGAAATAGAGATCCTCATGCATTAGGAAAGCCAACTTCTGGAAAATCCATATGTTAAATGCATATAAGAAGAAAGTATCTGCTATCATCAACTTTATTTATTTCTCATAAATAAATAAATTAGAACACGGAAAAATTAAAAATATCTGTAGAGGTAAGTGATTTCCGACTGCTGATAGAGGTTGTATGTGATGACTGGGGCCGGGTTTAATTCGCTGGTTACCACTTTCTTCAGGTGTTCATCACAGCAGACCCTAGAATTAACTGATAGAAAAAGGCTTCTAGGAAAATTCCTGATTGCTCGGCTCACATCATCAGGACACATCCATCTCTGTCATCACTGCTGCTCTTCGGTACAGGTAAATTCAGAGGATCGTCGGATCAAAAAATTAGTATAATAACTAGCTGAAGTCTCACCTTGGATGTGTAATAAGCTTATTAGCGAAAATCTTGAATTCAATCCCATGTTTCCAGCATCCATTGATACACTGCACTCCTTTCTTTACTGTCATCTGAAGTCGTATCTTCTTTCCGGCTGGTGCCTGGAATCAAGGAGCTCAGGCATCGAACGGCAGCCTTCTTGGATGAAACGATGCAGTCAACCAACTTTAATCCAGTCATTACACATAGCGTAAGTGTCGCGAAGGTCAGGGTTCGTGGCATTGCCCAGAACGACCTTCCTAACCTTCCAATCTGGAGCTGCTGTCAGCACTGCTCCACATCCAGCCGGCTGAAATCGTACTATCACTGCCAGATGCCTGTGCTTCTTCCGACTTTGCTGACTTTTCAAACATAAGGAAATACATTTCAGTAGTGAAAGTTGCTTACTCGAAGGCTACACAGTGCACCACCGTAGCCAGACGGACAAATGCAGACATTACAGTTTTTTGGATTCCGTTTCCCTCCGTTTACACATTTTGCTCCCTTGGTTGCACAAATGGCTGCAATACTAACAAAGTTAACGATTCTGGCTTCTACCTGGAACCAATCTGTAACACGAGCACTCTCCAGCCCATGAAAAGACATAATACGTGGCGTCTAGATGGAGGTAGTGTAATGTTAAGCGGCGCTCTATCACAAACGCTTGGTCACGGGTTCGAGCTGGCCACCTCAAATCACTGTATAGGCCACTCAATACGCCACTACGATTCTGAATGAAAGTCGAATGGTAGTTCGCATCCAACGGGTGGGATTCATCAGAGCCCGGAGAGTTTATCCCTTCAATGTGTGGAGAAGACATTTTTATGAACAGAGGAGACTTTGATCATCATGAACTAGTAAATACCGTAATACTTGAAAAATTTCAGTGAACGTCAACTAACCATTGCACTTGTAATGAGTATTGATAATGCTTATGTCATAGAACGAAATAATCTGCGATCCCAGAGTTCGGAGGTACCAACCAGTTTGTCTTGGCCTCATGGATTCTCCATTTGTAGAGAACCTGGGAATGAGATAATCGAGTACTGCTTACTATCTTCTTTACTACTTCAGACGCTCTCGTATACATAATGAGTAGTTATCATAGCCTACATATCTGAAGGGTACTGGGGAGGATTTACTCACGACATGGCATCATAGTGCATAACGCTACCGTATTCATAGGGGGTGTAGTTAATTGACTCTTCCGCAGTAAGCCTGTTGTAGTTGTGTTGATATTCTGGCTGAAATAGTGTGATCATCGAAGTTTGGGTTGTTCTTATTCTACAGAGAGCGTAATAGTAGGTCTACAACTGTGAAAAGTATACTGGAGCAGCAACTGTCACAAGACGAACCCAGAACATGAGGAGATAACCCTCTGCTCGGGGTTTCAGTTATACCAATGCAAATTGATAGGGCAGGCCGCTCTTAGAGAAGTAATACTAGGGCTCCTAGCTACCAAATCCACAACTGCCCTGGTCATTCCCTTATTTCTCATTATGACACCATCCTTGGCTGCTCAAACCTGATCCCAGTAATCTATGTACTCTTACTGTTGTCATCTTGACCTGAACACTTTCAACAAACTGCGGTGCAAGCCATATGCACGGTTGCCCTCTTCTCAGATTAAATGAAGGGGCAACATATGAAGAGCATCAACTGAGGATAGTCGGCACGACAACTCTTTGCTTTTTTCAAATGCTACAGTTTTAGGAAAAAATAGAGTTTGACTAGTTACCGGCACGTTGGTCAAGTCGACTGTAATGTAAGTATCGCGGTCGTAACGACTTTGCATATGGGATACTCCGAGAGCATGCATGAATTCGTGGGCGATGGTCCCCATCTGAAATACAGTGATTCCAAAAACATTTAAAATAATTCCAATAATAGGAACGGAAAGAAAAATGCGGCCAAGTGGCATCTTCATATCCCCTGACGCTTATCAGTTACTGCAGTTACTGCAAGTTGCTTGGTCCAGTAGATCTGCTCACATCTAGAGTGAGGGATTCTACAAAGCCACAGGACTTACTATACCACAGCCATCGCCCAGCGACAAATCTTGTTCCCCTCCGATCATTCCGATGCTCGAGTAGCATCCAGAACCGTTGAACACTCGAATGCGATTCGTAGCTGTTGCGTTTTCAACAAAGGTAAGACATGTGCGAGCTGTGAGATAGGCAAGGGTCTTCTTGACGAGCGCTTTCATTGGCTCTCCTGAAACAAAAAAAGCGATTGAGGCCTTCAAGAAGTTACCCTCGAGATACTTGGTATCGCCACGCACCGAGGCTTGCATCAAAGTAGTAGAAGACTTTTTTATTTGCCCATAAGGACGCAACCTTGGAAGCTTGTCGCTTTTGACGAGTTGTGCCATTGTTCAGTTTTGATTCGAGGGCAGCAAGCTGCTCCCTGCAATTATTGAAGGTGATACTTTAAGCCTAAAAGGTAATTTCTGCGACTGGAACTCCTAAGCTCATCGCCAAACAGCTGCTATAGTGTTCAAACTTACTCTGTGAGATTGATATCACCTTCGTACAAGTAATCAATGACGCCTTCGATGCCATTCTGTTCAAGGATTGGACCACCTCCGGAGAAAAAAGCTAGATTCGCTTTGATTGATTGCTATAATAATCTATATACTTTGTTACTGAAAAGTGGAATAACTTCATAATGAAAGGCTTCTGACATTATCATCGGTGTTGGTTGACGTTGACGCTGGTGAAGTGACCATATCAACGAGTCGCAGGTTTCTGAGTCTCTCGCGACGTTGCTCAGGATCGACTCCTCGAAGTGCCTGAAAAATCTCCTAACTGAAGCTGATGACAGGGCCTGGGAAGTTTTACCTGCGTCAAAGAAGCCCTTCCACTATCCGTGAGAGCAAAACCGCCATCGAGAAGCAGCATGAGCAAGGAGACGAAGGAAACATATCGACTTTGCTTTGAGTTCATTTCTCTTCGAAATTTCCCGAAAATCTCACCAGGAATGAGAACTTCTGATGGAAAAAAAATAGAGTGGAGTGCAGATGCAGTTCAATGCTTGTGCTCGTTTTGAGAGCATCAGTTGCTCACTCTTATATATGATACCGCTCAGAAGATTAAATGAAATCGGCCTATTAATATTTAGGTGCTCTATCACCTTGCCGTAGACCATGTTCAATCCGATCAGAATATTTTGACCGCCACCACTGAGTGTTCACTTTCGGCACAGTAAGTCGCCAATGGGATTAGCAGCTTAGCATTTTTGTACTGCAGAACAACGGGTAGACTAAAGACTATACTTGTTTTAGCTATTCGAAAGTAAGACGTTCTACGACATTGCCCAAACCGACAATTTCCTGGAGAGACTTTCACTCGAATTTTAACCAGCACTCCTTCTATAAACGTCTAGCCTTCTCATCTTCGCCCCGTATTCATTGAAAGCACACCAAAGAAGGCAAAATGCGCTGTCGACCGTCTTTACATCACGGCTGTTGTATACTGAATACAGATCTATTGTCTAGTGGTAGAGCCTCCCATCGGTTTAGAACATGGGGTTAGAAATGATCCGGCCTCTGTGGAAACGTAGTTGATGTATTAAGTCGCATAAACGGTTGAGAGTTTTGGTGTTATGTGGCACTTATCTCCACTGACAGAATTACGCTTTCCTTGAATCTGAACTGGCCCTTTGAACGGCATGTTTTAGGCGACTTCTAAAAACTCAAGACTGTGAACCTTTTTTCATAAGGACAGGATAGGGAACATATAATTTCAATAATGCATAAGTTGAGCAATAGTGGATTCACGCTCAAATTACAGGTGCAGGTTTGCTGAATTGCTTTTGAAGTTCGGAAAGCTTGCTTGTAATCGATATCAATAAGGTCCATCTTTTCAAAAGTCCTATCCTCAGAAATGTAACTGAAATTGTACAGAAATCTAATCTCGTAATAAAAGAAACGCCTAAAGCTCGGTGTAACTATTTCAATTTTAAGAAATTTTCGTGTATTGCTGGAAAGATGGGAAAGAAAAATCCACGATGAAGAGTATTAATTGGATTTGAGTGGATTTTGGTCCGGACATAATTTGTCCACTGAATTATTACTTGTTGCCAAAATAAGGGGCATTTTTTTGCGCTATCTCGGCGACGACTTCTTTTAGTTGAATGTCTTCTTTAATAATTACGAGTTGTAAAGTTTCTCTGTGCTTAGCAGTGCTGCAAAGTTTTGGAGCGAGGCTCAATAATTGGTCAGCACTAGGACTAGAAAGGTCCTAGTGCTAACCAGGGGTGAAAGGTCTAGGCGAATTTTCCGGAAAATAATATTTCGAGTTGCTATGTCATATCTCAAAGCATGAACACGTTTTATGCTAAAGGAAACCAACGGAGGGACGTCGCCCCCACTGTTTCAGAATCTGTCACCCGCTGAAACTGGATTGCCCAATAATAAGGCTTTGCAGGCACAGTACACGATAAAAATGGTTTCTGAGATTCCCTGCTAGAATTAATCTGTAGCACAGAATGACAGTACACGGGTCGTTCTCAGGCCAAAAAACGGCATAAACAGGGCGGGAGCTGCAAAGAGAATTATTGGCCTTTAGGTGGGCACACTACACAGTTATTTTGAGGTATTTACCCGAAGATAAACAGTGGAAGCCATGGTGCAGAATAGTGCGAGAATGGCGAAGAAAGGTCAAAATTGTTGAATTTCGGAAAATATTAGACTTCAAAAAAGCAGCAAAAAAGGAGTTGTACGAGATGTCTGTCTGCGTTCTCTCATTCAGGTGCACTATTCGCCTGGTTAAGTGAGCAGCGCAGTAATAACAAGGGCGGCATAACACGGCCAATTTGAGTGCCTGTGCAGGCCAAACCGGTTTTCGAGCCCTTGTTGCGCCCTGTCTAGGCCCTTATTCGGCCCGACAACGGCTCTCGAACTGTTACTGGGGGCCACAGTTTCATTCTAGCGGGAAATCCTAGCAACCATCTTTGCCATCTCGTGAACTGCGCCTCAAACGAGAGACCCTCGTGATAAGCGACACAACGCTCTAGGAAATCTGGCTGTTGAAACATTCATAAAGTGAATGCATGTGTGAATAAATGGAAATAATTGCGGTCATCATCTTTATTTATTTTTCATAAATAAATAAATAAATTAGCGCACAGGGAAATCAAATATATTTGTAGAGGTAGGTGATTTCCGACTGTTGATAGACGTTGTATGTGATGACTGGAGTCGGGTTTATACTGCTGGTGATCACTTTCTTCAAGTGTTCATCACAGCATGACCTAGAACAAGTTGATAGAAAAAGGATCCAAGGAAAATCCCCGACTACTAGGGGTCTCATCCACTTCTGTCGCTGTTACCCCATGCCACAGGTAACTTCAAAGGATCCTTGGGGATGTGACTATAGATATAGTAACTATGTAGCTGAAGGTTCACCGTGGATTTGTCATAAGCTTATTAGCTAGAGTCTTGAATTCAATTCCATGCGTCCAGCAACCATTGAGACAAAGCACTCCCTTCATTACTGTCATTTGAACTTGTACTTTCTTCCCGGCTGGTGCCTAAAACAAGGCAGCCAAGGCATCGGGCGATCCCCTTCTGAGAAAAAACGTATCAGTCAACCAACTTTAATCCAGTCATTACACATCGCATAAGTGTCGCGTAGGTCAGGGTTCGTGGCATTACCCAGAACGACTTTCTTCGATTTCCAAGTTGCAGCTGCTGTCAGCACTGCTCCACATCCAGCCGGCTGAAATCTTACTATCACTGCAGGACACCAGTGCTTCTGCGATATTGCTGGTTTTTCGAACATGTGAAACTACATTTTAATAATCTGAAGCTGCTTACGCGAAGGCTACACAATGCTCCACCGTAGCCAGCCGGACAAATGCAGGCATTACAGTTTTTCGGATTCCGTTTCCCTCCATTCACACATGCCGCTCCTTTGGCTGCACATATGGCTGCAATACAAACAAAGTTAACGGTTTCGGATTCAACATGAAACTAATTTGTACAGAAGTGCTTCTCAGCTGGTGGAAGGGCATAAATAAAAAGTTAATTAAATAAATAAGTAGACAATATGTGGCCAAGATGCTTCTATGATTGTCCAACATGAGCTAATAACTACCGTAACCTCGGTAAACATCAACTAACCGTTGCACTTGTAATGAGTATTGATAATGCTTATGTCATAGAACGAAATCATCTGGGATCCTATTGTTCGGAGATATCTGGCATTTTTCGGAGTCATCGAATTTCCAGATGTGGCGAACCTGGTAATGGGTATGTAATAGAGTAAAGCTCACCTTATTAGTAAGCTTTATTTAAAGGCACGGTTCACGTTGAAGAAGGTTACTGAGTTCTTCCTTCAGGAATACTCAGCGCCCCCCATGGGCCCCCCATGGGTGGTAGAAGAGACCCTCTGGCTCCCACAATCTCGGCGCTTATTCGTTCTAGGACCCACGCACATCAGCTAATCGCCGAGTGATGAGGCGATGTTTTTCTCCCATTCTTTTTTCCTCTGTTTTTTCTTTTTGCTGCCGCGATCCCTTTAATAATTTCCTAATTCTAGAGGTTGGAAAGGTGAGCTACTTTTGCTGTTACTAGGGTTTTTTTTTGTTTGTTTATGCTTATAAGTGAATGAATTTTTGCTTACAATTGTCTGTTATTCGCACCAGGACCCACACGGGCGCAGTGAAACACACTGTTTAGCTCGTCCGGGCGCCCCACTCTTCTTCATTTTTCTGGTTTCACTCTCGTGCAGCCCCCTTTTTAGCGGTTTTTTGAAGCCTTTTTCCATTTCGGAAAACCGACGCACGCAGTTTCTTCACCTCAGTCGCACTATTTTCGTTCTTGTCTTCCATTTTTCATCATAATCTGAATTACCCAAAATTATCGTGAACTCTCCCTTTAATTACACGCTTGCGCGTGCATGATGAACAGTAATAATTACTAATCGGTACTTAAAAAGGAATACGTACGATTGAGCATCATAGTGCATAACGCTGCCGTACTCGTAGGGAGTATAGTTGACTGACTCCTCCGAAGTTAGCTTGTTGTAGTTGTGTTGATTCTCTGCCTAAAATGACATTTTCATCAGTTACGCATCGTAGTGGGAGGCCCACTGTTTAAAGAGAATAAACTGAAGCAACAACTCCCGCAGAACGGATCCAGCACATAAGAAGGCAACGACGGAACCAACTCAAGTGTACTTCCCTCCTACTCAAAGTTTCAGAATATCAGTACAAATTCCTAGCAGAGGAAAATGATAGTGCAACGAGTTCACACAGAAGAAATGTATCGGCTCTAGCCGCCAGTGACAAATAACTGTCCTAACCCGATTTTTTTTCACTGTTTCCTTGGCCTAAGCATCTTCAGCAGGTCTCTATTCCTAATTTGGACTGGTTTGAGGATGTATACAAATACGGCAAATTGAGAGTAGCAAGATAGGTCCTTGCCTTGCCAGTATTACTAAGAAACTTTAAGTTAAACTAATTTACCGGCACGTTGGTCAAGTCGATTGTAATGAAAGAATCACGGTCGAAGCGGCTTTGCATATGAAATATTCCAAGAGCATGCATGAATTCATGGGCGATGATTCCCATCTGTAACACATTAATTATGGCCTATTCTAAGAAATAAACTAAAAATATGAGTGGAAGGGGGACACTTTTCGTCAAATTGTGCGCTGTCTGCGCTAACTGTGACCTGAACACATTGACACACTGAACTTTGTGCCTGAACCGAAGGATCCAGGCTTGAAATTAGGAAGCGGAATGAAAGTGCATTCCCATAGTTTACACGAAGTTCTACGTTTATACAGGAGCTGGCGTTCGGGAAACCCACCGTATCACAGCCATCGGCTAGCGACAAATCTTGTTCCCCTCCAATCATTCCGATGCTCGAGTAGCATCCAGAACCTGGGAACACTCGAATGCGATTAGTAGCTGTTGCGTTCTCAACAAAAGTGAGACATGTGCGAGCGGCAAGGTAGGCGAGTGTCTTTTTGACGAGCGCCTTCATTGGATCTCCTGAAACAAAAAAACGACTCGGTTCTTCAAGGGAAAGTTGTCGTTCAGTTGCTTGCGTTGTCACACACCGAGACTAATATCAAAGAAGTAGAAGACTTTTTTGTTTGCCCATAGAGAGGCAACTTTGGAAGCCTGACGCTTTTGACGAGTTGTGCCATTGTTCAGTTTCGATTCGAGGGCAGCAAGCTGCTCCCTGCAA